ACGCCGGGAGCCACCATCAGGAGCCACGCCGGGAGCCACCATCAGGAGCCACGCCGGGAGCCACCGTCGGAAGCCACGTAGGGAGCCACGTCGGGAGCCATGCCGGGAGCCACCGTCGGAAGCCACGTAGGGAGCCATGCCGGGAGCCACGTAGGGAGCCACGCCGGGAGCCACCATCGGAAGCCACGTAGGGAGCCATGCCGGGAGCCACCATCGGAAGCCACGTAGGGAGCCATGCCGGGAGCCACGCTGGGAGCCACCGTCAGGAGCCACGCCGGGAGCCACGCCAGGAGCCACTGCGCACGTTCATCTCCACCTCGCATTCCTGGCCTGTCACGTTTCCCACTCGCTTCTGGTGAGGACGGGAACGTGGCGCCACGTTTGTTTTTCTTTGTCCCCTTGGACTCCTCTCGACTTTTCTTCTTCAGATATGTCCACGGGCGCGTTGGAAGTAGTCCTCACTTTATTCTGCCTTGTAAGGAACAGCCGTCAGCAAATGGCTCAGAGCAGTGAGAATAAATCCCTAAGGGGCTGCTCTAGGACCAGAAAACAAAATACGCAGAAGGGCCGGAAGACACCAGCCCCTTCCAAGGGGTGGAGGCCTGAGTGGTTCCATCCATCCCGCGTCTCCATCCCAGGCCCTGGGAATAAAGCCGCGGTGGAGAAGGGTGGGCTGACCGTCATCGCGAGCTGAGACTCAATCAGAGCTCGCAGAGCCGCCCGGGTGGAGTGGCAGGCCCCCCATCCGGTAATAAAGGGAGGACAGCATCTCGTTTGTGGATTCCTCTCCTTCCGCTGCGAAGCTTAATCAGATCCGTGAGGCCGAAGGGAATTGTCCGTAACCAGAGATCATGTTCCTCGTCCGTAATCTGGCCAGGAAGCGCCCCCTCCCCAACGCAGATGGCCGGTGACATTTGTCGTTCAGCTAACCCAATTGTTGCCTGTTGAAGAAATACGTTTCGGGCGTAATCTACTTAGAAGGAGACCTGGGGCTGAGGCCACGGCACTCTGCCAAGCACTTTCATGGCAGAAGCCCGTGTCGGGGGCACTGGGGGTTCTGGCTCACTGGTGGCCACTCACAGAGCCCCGGACTGGGTGGTCGCCGGTGACACTCGGACGTGGCCGCTGACGGCTGCATCTGCTCTCCCGCTTGCCTCGTGTTTCTGTCACGGAAAAACAGAGCACCAGCCCTGGCAGCGCCTGAGCGGGAACGCGAGCTCCTGAGCTGGTGTCGTGTAGGGGAGAGGACGGAAGGAAGGCATTCACACCAGGTGTGGCAGGCAATGCCTGCACTCCGCCGGGCCGGGGATTGCTAGTGCGAGGGTGGGCGTGGTGGTGCACGCCTGCAATGTGTGCCCTTCCCACACTGGGACAGGAGGACGGAGTCCAGGCCGGCACAACGGGCGTTTACCGGCTCTCTCCTGGCCAGTCGCGCCAACACGTTCCTCCATTGCTATCCACAGCACAGGAGGCTGCTGAGCCCCGGGGACACCGCGGCTGCTCCGGGGTGAGGGTGGTCATAGCGATGACCCCCGCCCGGCTCCGACGTCCACCGTGGCTCTCTCCCTCCCCGCCAGGCAGGAAGGAGGAGGGGCACACAGGGAACGTGGTGGAGGCTGCGGGCAGGAAGGAGAGGCTGGAGAGAAGGCTCTGGAAGGGGGGCAGAAGGCCTGGTGGCGGCTCGGATGGGAGCCGTTCGTGTCCGCTCTGCGCCTCCCCCCGCCGCTCCGGCCTCGGCCTTGGAGGAACTGAACTGAACAGTGGAATCTGAGGCCGTCTCCCCCCAGGGCCCGCCCCGCGCCCCTCCTGGCCCCGGGAAGCCCTGGGATCTGGGCTCCTCGGGCCGCCGAAGCCTCTGCCCTCCGCTGGCCCCGCCATCCGCAGCCATGGAGCCCTGCACGCCGCCCCGGGAGCCGGGGGGCAGCGCCACCCCTGCGGCTCTGCTAACCAGCCCTGTATGGCTAATTACGCGGCTAATTGCCCTGCTGTGTCCCCCCTCCTGCCTGCCTCTGGAGAGGGCGGCCCGCGCTCCCTCCCCGCCCGGCCCTGCCTGGCCCGGCCTCACCACGCGCCTCCCGGCCAGGCCGCCTGGCAGCTGTGGGGTGGGCAGGCGCAGCAGACCTCTCTGCCCCTCTCCTCGGCCCTGCCTCGGCCCCCCTCCTGCTGGGCCTTCAGCCCTCCCAGGGCCAGCACCTGTGCCCAGCCACGCCACCCGCAAGGAGGCCCTGCCCACACCACACTCGCCCAGTGGTGAGGCTGAGCGCAAGAGGGCAGAGCTGAAGGCTGGACTGCGCTGCTTGGCAAGTTCAAATCCAGCCTCAGCCGCTGCTACTCAGGAAACCAGACAGACAGACAGACAGACAGATAATAGAAACAGATGTGTAGATAATAAAAATAGATAGATAGCTGATAGATAATTGAGCACTAGGTAGACAATGGGAATGGATATGTAGATAATGATAACAGATAGCTGATAGATCATTGGAGCAGCTGGGTAGATGGCAGGTCCCCCGAGAGGCTGCCGCCGCCATCCCTTTGGAGGTGACTCTGTCTCCGGCAACTCTGTCTCCTGGGGGGGGGGAAGGGCTGTTCAGAGGGAGGAGCGGCCAGTGTGAGAAGCCCGGCGTGGGGTCCGTTTCCCCTCCGTTCCTCAGAACACCACCCCAGAGCCTCGGCCTGCGCGGCGCCTGCCCACCGCCACCCGCGGCTCCCCTTTACCCGGTCACGCGGGAGGGGAGACAGGAAGGGGCCCAGCTGTGACTGGACAGAGGGCGCCCAGGGCCGTGGGGCTGCCCGCGAGCCCCGCTCGTGACCCGGTGGACGGGGGGTGCTGAGGACGCAGCCGGGGTCCGGCGGGAGCCACGGAGACTGGCTTGGCCCGGAGAGTTTAGGACCGCAGTTTCTGTGTGCGCCGGAGGACGGGACAGGTCCGAGATCCCGCCGGAGACACGCCGCCCCTGCTCCAGTGAGCAGCTCTACCAGATCAGGGGCTCCCCCCCCAGCACCCCGGGCTCCGGCCTCGAAGCTCTGCCCTGCCCTCGGGGGGGGGGGGGGACTGGAGCACAGTGGCTGAGGGCAGGGTCCATCCAGACGCCCGCCTGGGCCACCGAATTCCCCAGGCCTCGGTTTCCTCATCTGTAAGATGAGGGCGCGTGGGTGGCCGGTCCAGGGGGAGGCGGCTGAGGCCGGAGAAGGACGTGATCATCACGGTCACCCCTAAAAAACAACGATGGTGCAAGAAAGCCGGGAGAGACACGGCAGCCGCCACCGCCGCAGTCAGGACTCCGGAGTCTGCTTGCTTCCGATGGCCTCCCTCCCCCCTCCCCCCTGCTCCCTTCCCTCAGCCCCCCTCCCCCCTCCCCTCCCCTCCCCGGCTCCCTGGTACCCAGGAGGAGTTTTCTGCTCGGGAGCCCTGGATGTTTATGGCCCGCTAAGAACACAATAACCCCGGCGCCTTTCCTTTTGCTCTGGATTATGACTGCAGATCAAGGACAGGCATTTATGTCCCCACCCCGGTTTATAGCAGTAATAATAATGATGATGATAGCGCATCGCGCTTCTATGGTGCCTTTTTAATAAGGCCACTTTGTTTGGCTTCTTAATATTTAATCCTGTTTTATATTTTGCTTTCTGACGGCTTAAAAAAAATCAACCCAGTTTTAATTGCTTCTCTGGAAGAAGTCACGCTGGGCCGGGGAATGGCAGGCGGCTGCTGAGAACCTTCTAGATGCAGGTGGTGCCTCCCCAGGAACTCTCCGCCCGGGCAGCCTGCTCACCCCTCGCGTCTGTCTCCTCTTCCTCCATCACCGTCTCTTACCTGTGTGAACAACTCGGCCTGGTTTTCCAGCCCCACCCTCCCTTCTTCCCCTGTGGAATAGGGGAGACGGCGAGTGGTACCCGAGGCGCAGAGCTGTGGGGGCGTTTGGTCCTTCCAAACACGGTCCTTCCTGACGTCGGTGTTCAGGAGATCCCTGGGCCCCCATGGGAGAAAGCCCGTGTGGCCTGTCTCTGACCAGTGTGGACGCCACAGGAGAAGCAAGCCCATCCCTCCGGGGCCCACCACGGGCACCTTGGAGCGGTCATCCCCCCCCCCCGCAATGTCCACTTCTGTTGGAACAAATCCATCCCAGAAGCCGCCCCGTGTGGCCGTGCTCTGCCAGGGGTCGGCTCCGCCCTGGGGCACTAATGTCAGCTGCGGATCAGGGCGCCCCTCACCCCCCAGCCTCACGGGCGGCCTCCGGAGGCCCCCACGCACAGAAAGAGCACAGAGAGAGCCTGACCACGGTGACCACACAGAGCGCGTTACGGGGGCGCGCAGGGTCACACAGGAGCGGGGTGGACGGCCAAGGCCTCCGGCCTTGAGAAAAACCCTGATTTGGTCAGGACAAACCTAAGGCTCCCGCAGCGACCAATTGAAGGAAGACGGCTTCCAGCTGCCGGGTGAGATGAGCGAATATTCACGGCACTTTGCGGCTTACCGAGTTCTTTCTGCAGATAATTATTCCGGCTTAGCTGGCACCAAAAGCTCTTGGCGTCGATCGTCTCAGGAGGGAGGAGACGGGGTGGGGGGCGCCGGGAAGGCTCACGCGTCAGGGGAAAGATGGGGCCGGAGCTGGGGGCCGGGTCTTGTCGGGGGTCAGAGAAGCCGAGCGGCCCAGCCGACGGGCGCCAGAGCAAGGGCACCATCTCAGGAGCTGCCCCGAAGGCGCTGGCCGACGCAGGAAGCTCTTCTCCAACTTTCTTCCAGGCTGGTCATCTGCCCTCTGTTCTGTGTTAAGTAATTTGGAGTTTGGGTTCCATTTTGTTGGATTCTGTGTGTGTGTGTGCGTGCGCGCACACGTGCATGTGTTGGTTTGTTGCTGTTTTAATTTTTATTCGGGTTCATGTTTGGAGATGAAAACTGACTGTTCCATGTGGAAAACTGACTTGTGTCTCTCCCCCGCCCGCGGCCGGCGGCCGGCGGCCTCTCCCTGTCTCCCCGGCCGCCTTGTCTGAGGAAGGAGGTGCCCCGGCCAGCTTTCGGGACCAGAAGAAGGGGAAGTTTGCTTGGTTTAGTCACTCCACAGAAACCCACGGTAACGTGGCCCTGCGCTCCGTGTGCACGTGCACACGCGTGTCGGTCCACCCTGCTGCCCCCCATGCTTGTGGCACGGTATTCGTGTGTGTGCGCGCGCGTGGTGTGTATGTATGTGTATGTATGTGTGTACGCGTGGGTGTGCATGGGTGCGCTGCGTGGGTGCACGTGTGTGGGTGTGCATGGGTGTGCGTGTGCGTGGGTGCGCGCGCGTGCGTGTGTGTGTGCGTGTGTGTGACCAGCGCACCTTGCTGTTCCCCCACGGAGCTCTCCTTTTGGACTTGGCCAGCCTCGGCCAGGGTGAGGGCGGGAAGCTGACACGCTTACTCCCCAGGCCGCAGCCCACGCGCACGCGCACGTGCTCACACGCACAGCATCCTGGGTTGCAGAGGCCGGCGGCCCTCTTTAGACAGCCCGGGCCCTTCCAACAACCGCCGCTGCTGCAGAGCCCGGGACGCCGAGCTCGGAGATGGGGGGCACAGGCGGATTGGAAGGCTGAGAGCCCGTCACCTCACCACGACCCCACGCTCGAGACAGGCCGGCTCCCGCCGCGGCCCCACGCT